GAAGTCAGTGCCTCCTTTTATAACCTCAATGGCATCACAGTCAACCCTCTTAAATCTGAACTGTTAATACTGAATGGCACACAGGAAAGTATCCCTTTCCAAGAACACGAAGTAATACCAGCCACCAAAACGCAGGCAATAAGAGTCCTAGGTGTATGGTATAAAAGGAAGAAAGGAAAACAATATTAACGTAATCTCATCAAAAGGAAAGTTACCACAATCTGCAACTCGATAGCCAGAAAACAAATAATAGACAAGATGCATCATTATATTACAAACCATGTCCTCTTTCCTATAATAGAATACCTTCTAACAGACCGGATATTAATGAAAAATGAAACACAATAGATCAACTGCCGCATATGCAATTGCCTCAAACATCATATTAAACTCTCAAAAACTGTCCCAACTCCACTAGCACATCTCAGCAATCAATACAATAGCATGGAAATTGAAACATGGCAACGACAGAAGCACTGCAGTGACTTTCAAGAGTTATACTATGATAATAACCTGGCAGGACAAACAATTAGACTCAGAACACAACAACTGCAGTGGATGGCATGGCAAAAAGAAGACATTCTAAAAAGGTGCCCAAAGCTCCTTCCATCAAAAGCAAATTTCATACATGATGTACTTCATAACATACAGGTCCAAAATATTATACTACATCGCCAAACAATAACTAGAAATAATAATGATAGCCTCATTTATATTGAAAACATTATGGCTGATGAATGGTACAACTCCAATAGAAAGGGATTAAGAGCACACAATAGAATGTGGGTCAAACAACTTCTCAATACCTATCGTACAAAGACCTTAAATTGGCATCAAATAGGAGTGCTCCACAATAAAACAAATAAGCAAAAACAATCTTCTTTCTTTATAATACTCAAAGCTACAACACAAATCTACGTTAATAACCATGCAAATTTTAACCAACTTAACCCTGAAATGCCAACTAAATGTAACACAGAATCAGAACAAGAGCAACAAAGAAATTTCAATAAGTCATGGTACATTCTTCAGCGACACCACAACTTCACTATTGGAAAACAAGTGAGTTGAGATAAAGACTACATCAAACTATGGCACTACCTTACCACAGACACCTCACCACTAGCAAAATGTCCCGGATGCGAACTAAATCAACACATAGACAAAAGAAGTCACATGTATTGCTTCACAGTCTCAACAAAATCGCTATACAAAGCCCCAGTAATTAAAACATCCCAAACAAATGCAGGAATATCAGAAAAACTACAATTCAAGATTCAGTTCTTACCTAGTAGCACTCAATGTTGGCTCAACGAATCCAATCAAACCATGGAAGCAGTTGAGGTAGATGCAACCCCAACCTCCATAAAAAACTTATTACAGCTAATAGATATTCCAGCCCTCACAATACAACAACTTACAAACATTAACAAAAACATCAACACTAATGAGACAATCAAGATAATGATAGACGAAGCCTTCAATCACAATAATCACAATGCCTTAGGAGTAGGCATCATTTTCTCAACCAGCATGACAGAACAGGACAACTTCAAACTCAGAATCACAGGACAGTACTCAGCTTTCAGAGCAGAGATCTTAGCTGCAACTATTACAATCAGCACCCTACCATTTAGACAAAAAGCAACCATACAAATAGACTCAGCTCAACTTATCACAGAGCTCGGAAAAGCATCGCTTGGACAAATCAAAAACATATTAGAAGTCGGACTCATCCACAACCTACACTATTGCATCAAGGTAATACAAACTTCAATTAGCTGGATCAAAATTAACAAAAAAGAAAACAACAATGATGAACTAAAACAAGCAGACAAGTTAGCCAAACAAAGCCTAAAGAATAATACTATCAGTAGCAACCTTTTAAAAAACTTCTGGAACCCAAGGTCATTACTTTCAATTACAATCAAAAGATAGAAATTACTGACACCATCCGCAAAACAATAAAATGAATGAGACAAGCCATACTCACACACAAATGGATCTCACTAGATCGAAACTGCAAACTTAACAAACACCAAAAAGCTGATATTGATTGGAAAAAGACACTCCAGTATCTACATTTAACAAAAATTACAAGCAACCACACAGATAATATAGACCATAACCACAGACAATTCGCCATAAAACTATGGAATCTCGAACTTCCAACAATGAACAAACTATATACACGCAAACTTGAGATTTACAGATCATCTGCATGCTTCACTTGCTCAGAAATCGAAGACAACATCCACCCCCTTTAGATGCAAGCACCATAGAATCCATATCAATGAAATGATACTCAATACCATATACTCAGAAATCACGGCATGGACTGAAAAAAGAAGTCCACATTCTTGTAAGAAGGAAATTAAAAACTATTTAGAAACAAATGAACTATGGAACATCTTCATCAGAGGAGACATCAGCAGGAAAGTTATCCAAACAATCCGTCAATTCATCCCATCTGACAAAATAGTAGAAGCCACCCGTAACATCATCCACAGAATCAGATTCATTACTTACAACATATGGACAGACAGATGCATCCGCATTCAAATATAGGAGAAAGCCATGGGAATATTCAAAACTCTGAAGAAAAATAAGACCAAGTTTAAAAGGTCCACTGCTCAGAAAGACACATCCACGACAACAATTCAAAAAGAAACAATGGAAGAAATTATTACAGGCACTCTAAACATCCTCGAATTTTTACTAAATACACTGACGAAGCCTAGGCACATTAGTCCCTTTAATCAGATACAACAAGCTACAAGGGGTTACAAAATCGAGCCCCACCGCCAACGGCGGTGGGTGCCCGCCACCAATTGGTTTTATTGTTTTGCTTAACATTAAAAATAGTTTACACAATCGCTCTGTAAATAAATGTAAATGTATCACATATAATCAATAAAATAGGCAAGTTAAGTGTTTCAAAAAAAAAAAAAAAAAAAAAAAAAAGCAAAGAAATATATAAAGTTATTCTTTTTGATATCATAAGTAATAAAAAAAGATAGTATCAATAATTTTATAATAATTCTAAAACACTCTTTCCACTGATTCTCTGATTACACACAAAAAAAATATTCGCAAGTTTTTATACTTCTTTGCTAATAAAGTCTTAATACTTTCATTAAAACAACTTGAAGTATGACTTCAAGAGTCACTTCTACCCTTTTCTTCTTGTTTACAAACCTCTTCACTCAAAAACTTGACTTAAAGTGACCAAGAAAAGTCAAGTAACACCTTTGATACCAATGGCAAGAAAGTTCCTAAAGAAAAATGAACTGATTGTGAAATACCTGAAGGCCTATTTAACTTTTGAAGTGAGAGATATATAGAGGTTTTTGATAACAGAAGGACTTATTTTTCCTCTTCCAGTCACTTATAGACCTCTTAGAGCTATCGCTTTTATGGTTTTCTACGGAATTTTGCCTATCTCAGTTTGACCCTGAATTTTTGGTAGCACAAATCCACACCAAAGATGATTGGTTGATACAAATCATGTTAGTTTTTGAAATGTAAACAAGCTCCTATTGATTATATTTACGTGTTCTGATAATATCATTGATGATTGGAAAGAAGGTTCTGGAAATATTTGCTTCCAAAAAGCTCAAGTCCCTCAATAAAAACTTCCATGACACCAAAAGACCAAGTGATGGATAATGTGGATTGCAAACTCCTGTCTCTTACCTAGGTTCCTCAAGTGGTGACAAAGCTTTAATGAAAAAAAATTGTGGTCTAAATACTTTCCTTGAGATATCTCAATCTAGTGCTCACTTAAATAAAAGACCAGTCGGATTGACTCGTCTGATACTACAGGTGGTGAAAAAAAAAATTTCTTCCAAGGTTTAAGTAAAGCAAGAAGACTATCCCAATTAGACAAATCCTTTTTAAGAAGAGGTTGTTTTTATTTTTGGATTTTTTTTTGTGGGTCTTGAATTGTTCCCTTTCTTCAATTATTTTTTCTTCTTCTCCTTTTTTAATTTAGCAATTTATTGGTTTTCGGGTAATCTACAGTAACAAACTGTTGGAAATGATCTTGGTAGATAAAGGTTATTACCAATCTATTAGGGGAGTGAAATATTGTTCCCAAAATCTGACTTAGAGTACTTTGTATGAAGATGAGTTAGTCACTTTGTGAAAGTCTGTAAAATATTGTAAATTCATTTTCAATTTTTCAATAAAGACATGTCATTGTAGCATGATTGCGTGTTAAAAAAAAAAAAAAATTCTATAATAATTCTTGTAATTGAATAAATAAAATAATTGAAATCTTTTTAGATTTATCAAACTTTTTACCAGTTTTATAATTTGATTTTTCTATTATAATATAGCAAAATTTAAATTAAATTAGATTAGATGATTTAAACTAATGATAGAAATTCTTTTTTAATTTTTCAATATATAAACTTTCTTATTGGAAGTTTAAAAGAATATATTACTGAACAAAATAGGTGATATAATAGTGTTAATCTATATACAGAATAATATTATATTTTGATACATTAATCATAATCATAAGAATTAATAAAGTTTATGTACTGTATATACACTTTACCTATTAAAAAAAATAACAATACAGTAATTTGAAATATTATTATAATTAATTAAAATAATATAATTAAGTTTTAAATTTTAAGTTAATTTAAATATAAAAAAAACTATTATAATTTCAAAATATAACTCAGACCTATAAACTTTTTAATATAAATAAATTACTAAATTGATATTATTATAATAAATTAATTTAGTTTTAATTAAAAACCCAATACAGCTAAATCCGAACCTATAAGCTAGTATACTTGTATAATTGCTGCTATCATTAAATCAAACGGTTATCTGCTAGATATTAATTTATATAGTAGATTATCGATTTAAAGTTTTCAAATTGAAATACAAATCAAGTTTATTTTAAAACATGAATGTTTATAATACGTATTCACACGGTACATTTATGTGCACGTACAGTATATTCACTCTTAACAATCACCTGGTTACATAATTATACTGTACATTTTACCAAGAACTTTTTGAACCCTCCCAGCCTTTGGTTGAGCTACAACAGATGCCTTGCAATAAACTTGTTTGTTGTCGGTGGCGATTAAGGGAAAATAACACATGCTCACTTCTAGGTCATTTATTTGGTTCGTATCCCAACTTCCTTCCATGACAGGCGTTTTAATTTGAACGCCTGATTCACACCATTTAATCTTAGGTGCTGGTTCCTGGGCCTTTAAGCTAAACCATAAATGGAAGCCAGTCCTAATTAATGATTCGGTTTCTGATCTTAGCTCATTCTGTCTTTCTTCATCGACAATTTCACGATATTTTTTGATCTTTCCAATAATTTCGTCAGCTGTCCTCCTAATGTAAGGATGTTTGTTCTTAGAATAACCACGTAGAGCGAGAGATGCATAAATTTGTTGTCGAATTTTAATGGGGGTCACGCCGGCGATACTATCGTTGCCTTCACGATTGTGAGCAAGATCCGAGGAATACTTGATTAATTCTTCGGCGTGATATACGATATACGGCTCGAGTAAGGAATCGTTGTAATGTTGATATCTACGTGAGTCATCATATATCCTCTCCGCAGCGTCAAAAATAATTTTGAGAACCATTCTCTGTAATGCAAAGCTTAGTAGTGTTTTGATTTGCTTAATATCTAACGTGGAATCGACTCTATTATCATAGGATTTTAATAATTCTAATGACTCTTTTTCTTTAATTGCGTATGCCTTGCCCTTAACCTTAGTAAACTCATCAACAAGTTGTCGCATCTCTTGAATATCTTTAGTTAGTTGTATAGGATTATTAAAGGAATCGTCACTCCAACGAACATTGGTGGCATTTCCAAGGGCAGCTTGGTATACAGTGGCTTCTCTTTTTGCAGATTCCAATTTGTTTCTAATAATATCCATCTCTCTCGTGAGCTGAGCGTGTTCACTTTTATAGTCTTCACTGAGCTGTTCTTTCTCTTCAACCAATTTTGCATTCATTTCAATTTGTTCATTAAGAACCTTTTCACTATCCGCTAATTTAGATTCTAGATCTTGAAGTCTTTGGAGCAATTCATTACGTTCAGAGTTTATTGTCATACATGTGGATTGGAGTTTTTTTAACTCTTCCGAAGATTCGTGGTAATATGGATTGGTTGTACAATGATAGCCTTCCATATCCGATGGTTTTTGATGAGTTATTAACGCAGTCCGGAGGTAGGCTACTCTAGCTTGAATACTTTGATGCGTCATAAATCTCAAAACCGACCTTTTTGAGATGGAAATTTTGCGAATAATTTCCACCAAAGATTTTGCAGAAGTAAATTCTATCTTAAAATACTCGAAAATTCTTTTGAGTAAATTATCTTTTATCAATTCTTTCACAGAAGTATCTTGAGTTACTATATAATCATGACAGTTTTTCAAAATATCGAAACAAAAGTTGTATCTTGCTTCGTCTGAGATTCCTACCATAAAAATTTCTCCTATTTCTCGCTTAAGAACATTCAGCCCTTTCTCAATTACTTGTCTCTCTTTACTATCCATCGGTTCCTCCAATGCCAGAATAATCCATTTAAATAAAGAATCCTGCCAGTTACCACGGTCACTACTGAACCATTCGACTATGCCCCATTCCTCAATTTCAATTCTTTTATCGTTGGTATTATTGGGACCTACGCTTGACTCTTGAAATAGCAAGTTTTCTTTAACGCCAGAACTGGCTTCCCCAAATTGATTTCCGCCCATGTTCGAAAGAAAATTGAGATATCTTGATGTCTTATTATTTATAAATGTTATAGAAAGAACGTAATAATTTTATGGGTTGGCAAAAAAACTTTTTTACATTTATGTTTCAGAATGTCTTGCTACATACTGTGCCCCACTAACGAAACGATTATCGATTATTTCTCTTCAAATTGCTTCATAAATTAGTTAACATAGACATTAAAATAAGGCATACAATAATAATATTTTGTTATTGTCAACCATTTAAATTCACATATTCCGCCAAATATATTATTATTTCTCATCTAAATTGGCGAACTATAGTATAGTATTTTTGTAGTTCTATTCCACCGGATAAAACCAATGGCAGAATTATGATATTGAAGTTTAAATTAACATATGGATTGAATCTCCGGAAAGGGAATTTTATTTATTCTTATCAATCCCAAGAACTCAATCCCAAACCTCAGATATTCAAGCGAAAAAATTTTTTCTCAGTTAACTTTTGTAATTCACTGAGAGAGAAAATATGACAGACACCGATTTGCGAGTTGTCGTCGCGATAGGTAAGTTTAAACTGAATTATAATGAGATTGCATTAAACAAGCATTGACGTTTTATTTGCTAAAGATTTTGGGACAACATATTCCGGTATGGGGGTTTTTTTTTTAAAAAAAAAGAATATATTTGTTATATTTGAAGTAATTTAATTTATTTATAGGATTCGCTTACGCAGTAAGTTGAAAGACTGAAATTGTGTCTAAAAAATTAAATGGCTAATCATTTTTATATAGCACACAATTAATCCCGACATAACCGTTAATGAATCTTGGTAATTTTCACAAATATTATTAATGTTAGTTCATTAAACTCACATAAACATTTCGTAAAACAGGCCGGGGTTGAGTGGTTCGAGGATAATAGCTCCGAAGACAAACACTGTCCTCCAATATGATAGTGAATGGAATGTAATTCACTGGGGTGTCCCGGCATTAGCGTGCGAACCTCAGAAAAAGAAAAGGAATCGTGATAAAACCGAAAATAGACCTGTGGAATTATTCAAATTATATCTGGCTGATATATCTTTGCACCAGAAACCTAATCTGCCTTATGGATTGGATTATCGTAAAGCGATCAGGGATTATCTTGCCCAAATGAGACCGGTAAGTAATTTTTTCGTGTTAGTCTGCGTAATATGGACACTAAACTTGAAAAAAAAAAAAATACACTAGGTGATTAAAGATGTACTCAATAACCGTTGGCCCGACGTTAAGTTTTCGCAAGTTCGTTTTGTATTTACTGTACCCGCGGAATGGTGAGCTTTCGATTCCCAACTATAAATATGCAAAGTTAAAAGTAAGCTAAATGATGGCACATCCGCAATAGGAAACCTTATACGATCGGGATCCTTCGTGATTGTATTTACAGTGCCGGATTTCTTGAAAAACAGCATTTAAATAGAAATTTGGAGTTTACCACAGAGCGTATGTGTTAATCTGTTTAATGCTATTCTTAAGATAATGGTTATTTGGTTTTTCTCATGATTTTTTTGTATAAATTAATGATTATGCTAGCTGAGGCGGGCGCCCTATACTGCATGAAAAAGCTAGGAGAGCATAGATTAACAGCTGGAGGTTTGTGAATGAATTAGGAATTTCGCAAGCCTGACCGTCAATTAGTTACCCTAATAAGCAACGTTTATTAAATTTCTAGCATCGTTCCTCGTGGTAGATTGTGGTGGTGGAACTGTTGATTTAACAACACGTCAACTTCTTACGGATGGCTCCCTTAGCGAGATCACCGAACGCACGGGTGATCTATGTGGAAGTACCTACGTCGATGACCAATTCAAGCTCTTTCTAAAAAAAAAACTTGGTCAAGCAGCCGTAGAACTTTTTGAAACTAAGCACTATGGACAGTATCAATACCTCATTCACGACTTTTTCTGTCCACGTGTCAAATGTGTTTTCACCGGTAACCAAGAAGACTTTAAAGTTATAGAATTGGATATTGAAAAAAGATGTCCAGCACTAATTGATTATGTCACCGATGAAATTCGAGAAGAGATGGAGAATGAAGAATGGCTAATCGAAATAAACTTTCAGGATGTGCTTAATATGTTCTACCCAGTAGTAGATAAAATTATAATATTAATAAGAAATCAACTAAATGCTTCTAAGCAAGAGTGTTCGGCAATGTTTTTGGTTGGTGGATTTGTAGAGTCGCCCTATCTGGTGAAGAGAATAAGAGAACGATTTAGCGATGAAGTTCCCTTAATTACCGTGCCTCAACATCCAATTACGGCTGTTCTTCGTGGGGCAGTTATTTACGGACTAAATAAGAAGTCTGTTGCAAATCGTATGCTAACGATGAATTATGGTAAATGATTCATTCATACTGTATATCATTTTACGTATTTTGAAAATTTACATATTTACTCGAAATAAATAGGCATAGAAGTCTATCCGAAATGGAAAAAAGGTGTTGATCCTAAAAAACGCCAAACCGAAGATGGCCGAATTGCTAAGTTTAATTGTCTTGCTATGCGAGGCAGAGTTGTCGCATCTGATGAAAAATGTTCCGGCATATACTATCCTATACACCCAGCTCAAACTAGTATAAGCTTCAAAATATTTGCTACACCTAAACCTAATCAACGGTTTTGCAATGAACCCGGAATGAAAGAGATCGGCGAATTAAAGATTGATCTTCCTGACGTACATTTGGGTCTCGATCGTCCCGTGGAATTTGGACTTTACTTTGGAGAATTGTTAATCACTGCCACTGCGTGTAATCAAAAGAATGGAAAGGTCTATAGTGCTGCATTTGAATACATTTCGAGCGGTTATTATTTTGGGGGGTTGACTTATAATTAAAAATTTCTCGATTATGAAAGGTTCTCTTTCCTTTTTAAAAATAATTGTCTAGTTTATTGCATAAAATATCCTTACACTTTTCGGATGTTTGTAATGGGCATTTTGTAAAAGTTCGATCTAATCTGGCATGAAATCTTTGGATGTTGTAGTCACGAATAAATCAAGCTGTGAGAGACGGAAATCTTTGTTAACGAAACACTATTCCAGGCAGAAAAGTTCCTAGAAAAAAAATATCATTTCTAAATTATGAATTATTATAGTATTCATTCAATAAATGACTATTTAGTACAAAATATACTCAAGCATTATATATACTGTATATAGACACCAAATTTTCTATAAACAAACTTACCATAAGCTAAGACTTCTTGGTTTGATTATGGAAACTTATAAGTACTTTGAATAAAAATCTTTAGTAACTTATTTTATAGTTAGTCAATTGTCACAATCAATTGTTTTTATAATACTAAACAAAATAAAAATTATTATTATTTTTTTTTAAATAATTCTTTAAGTATATGGTCTTGTTTTCTTCTATATATTCATACAGTATATAGTATTAAAAAAATTCTATCTAATTGTTGGATTTCTTTCAACTAGTTCATTATCCAATTGGTAGTTTTAGATAAAACTTCTTTTTTGTCTTTTATTTTTTTATTAATGTACAAATTAATCTTTTCATATATTTCCTTTTATATATCTTCTTTAACTTTTTTGTGATTGGATATTTAAAGAGATATTCTAGTATTTTTTCTTGTAGTTTGCATAAGAGATAGTTAGTTAATAAATAAACTTTTAGTTTTTTTTTTCTAAATATTTATATCATTAAAAATTTATTATAAATCAGATTTGTTAAGAAACTTTTATCTTTGTTAACTTTGAAGAATATATAAAAGGTGTTGAATAGATTGAACTGGTTTTAAAAAATTAGTTAATCTATATTTTTGTCTTGTTAAATCCTGAGATCCTGAATTCTTTTTTGTAATATTTAGTCTAAACCAATTTTTTTCTATTTGTTACTTTGATAAAGTTTTTAATATTGATATTTATTATATACTCCTTTTATAAAACTATTGTCAAAACTTTTCCAAGCTTTGATAACTAATACTATAATATTAGATTTTCATGTTTGACATGTTTGGCAAGGAAGTCTACATAATTGTTAAAATTGTTAGTACTATAAATTTTGATTTTTATAATCTCAAGAATATGATTTTTTTTAACCAAGTTGTAAATTTTGTTCTATAATGATCAATTAGTATTTTAGTTCAAATTCTTATTAATAATTTTCTTTATAAATTGATAAACTTTCATGTTATGACAGTAATATCATCCTTGATATATATTGTTATTAACTATTATTAAATTAGACAATTTAATAAATAAAATAATACTACAACTTCTATTTTTGAACAGATCTATTAAAAGCTTCATAATATTGAAAAAAATTTTAATTTGATCTATAGCTTTTTTTTAACATGGAAAGACTTATTATATTATAAACTTTTACTATATCTTAGAAAATAATTCACAGTTTTTTTCTTTTCTCTGGTTTTTTCACATATACTATTTAGAAAATGAATAGATTTTGCTATACTTTCTTCTTATAGACTAGCAAAGTTTGTATTTTTTAAAATTTTATATTATTTGCATATAGTTGCTAGTCAGTTAATTATTTTTTGATTGTTTTAAGAAAATCTATAAATCTTATATTTCTAAGTTCATATTTTCAGGATTTTGGTTTAGGAATGAAATAGAAATTATTTTTTTTTCATCTTTTGAGTATCTGGCCAGTAA